CCACCCCCCACACGCACCCACTCCCTTCCGCCCACAGCATCAAGACTCTGCTTTGGGAAAAAGGTTCTCTGCTTTTCTGGGTTTTCAGCTCTAATCTGTGCCTTCCATTCCCACTCACAGTCACCACGAGGGATAAGCATCTGGTGTCAGATGTGCCAGGGGAGGGGCTCCAGACTTGGAATATTGGGAACGCTGGGATGCCGCTCTGTCATCTCTGCGGGCTGGGTGGTGTCGAGAGGAAGGGACTGTATCTGCTGCCATGACAAGGGGAAACCCGGAGCCTGGGGCTGGGGCAGACCGCCCCAAAGACAGAGTGGATGGAGAGAAAGATCTGTCAGTACCTTTAGAATCCTGGGTGAGGATTCACCTGAAAACGGTAACCCCTGGACGGTTAAATGTAGGACCCAATAAGTCCATTTTCTGTTTAGCGTCAAGAATTTTGTTGCTTGGAAAGGAAGTATCTCTGACTGAAATGCTGGAGCCCAGAGAGGGTAAACAACTTGTCCAGGGTGACTCAGCAGTAAGTGGTGAGGCTGGATTCCTGTCCATTCGCTGGTGCCTACAACAGCAAATCATAACCCCTTGCTGTAGCATCCAAGGTCTGGCATGCCCTGGCCTCTCTCTACCTTTCTAGCTTCAGATCCTACTAGGCGCTCTGCCCTAAAGGCACTTTCCTCTCGAACAGCGACACCTTCCGTCTCTGGTCTCCCCAGCCCCGTGGGGGCTCTGCACAGCCCATTTCCTCTTATGGAAATGCCCCCTCCTCCCTCTTCTTTTCATGTGAGCTCTGGATTCAGAGAATGCCAGCTCTGCCACCTCCTGGCTGTGTGATCCTGGGTGAGTTCCCCCACCATCCAACCAGCTCCCCGTGCCTCAGTTTCCTCATCTGTAAAATGGGCTAACAGTACTATCCTCATAGGTTTGCTGTGAAGATGAGAAGAGGCAAAGCCCTTGGCAACTGCCTAACACGTCGCAGAGCTCAACGAATGTCAGTTGCTCTTATTATTATTATTTTTTTTTGCGGTACGCGGGCCTCTCACTGTTGTGGCCTCTCCCATTGCGGAGCACAGGCTCTGGATGCGCAGGCTCAGCGGCCATGGCTCACGGGCCCAGCCGCTCCGCGGCATGTGGGATCCTCCCGGACCGGGGCACGAACCCGCATCCCCTGCATCGGCAGGCGGACTCTCAACCACTGCGCCACCAGGGAAGCCCTATTTTTTATTATCTGGGAAATACTGATTGAAACTCTGACATTCATCTGCTGTCAGCACGCCGTCCTCCACCTGCCCCAGGCTGCTTCCTCTCTCAGTAAGAAAGAGGCATTTTCTGACTTCTGTAAACAGTAGAATTTATAAAACATCAGAAAAGATGGTTGAATCTGTGCAATCAGAGGAGGGTCTCTGTGCAGATGCTCAAATCTTGCTTGCTAGAAGCACACCATTAACCAGAACCTTAGAATCACATCAGAATAGAAAGAGAGGGAAAAAAGGAGCTGTGTCGTCAGTGCCTGAATTGGTTTCCCAGGAAACTGTGGTTTTCTGGTACGATAAGAAGCAGAGATTAAATCATGAAAAAATGAGACTAAAGGTTGAGAGACAAAAAGGGCCAAGACTTCTGGTACGTGAATTCCATCAACATCAACCTGCAGCCCCATCCTTTTCAGCCTGAGCCCCCGCTGATGACTTTCCATGGGCTCTGCCTGCTTAGAACGCCTTTAATTTCCTACTGGACTTCAAATGGTGTCTGGAGAAAAAGTGCCGTCGTTTAAGAAATGCACACGAGTCCAGCACCTGTCAGATGTTCTGCAAACGGGGACTGAGGTTCTCCCACAGGACTTGGGACACAAGAGCCAAAGAGGGCCTGGGAGAAACAGAAGTGCCAGGCCTTAGGGCACACAGGTCAGGTTTGAGTCCCGGTTGTGTCGCTTGTCAGGAGACGTGGGTTTTTACCGTGTTTCCCAGGGTTATACCCTCCTCAGGGAGTGAAGATGCCTCGCCTTGTAGGTGGTTCCCTCAACATCCCAGGGAGACCTGTCACCAGGCCTGAGGGGGCTCAGGCCATTGTGACTTGTTGCTTTTGCCAATGAATGGAGGGCAGAAGTGACAAGTGATACGTGTCACTTCCAGGCTGAAGGTCTGAGAGCCAGCACGTGCTGTGCCGTGAGCCTCAGGGCCAATCAGCAGGCTCTTGTCACCTCTGAGACTTTCTGATTGTTACTTCAGGATCACCTAACCCTCTTGCCTGCCTCAGTGTCCAAACTCTTTCCTTCCCGGCCTCAAGACGCTCTGGAATCCAGTCCAACAGAGAAGGGATCAGAGGTATGATGTCTGATCTCTGGCTCGTGGAGACCGAAACTGGGGTTTATGAACCATCTTTCTAACCTGGGAGGCTGTGGACGCCAGTGGCCAGAGAGAGGGCAGTGTGGTGGCGTGAAGCCTCCTCTCTCAGGCCCCCAGACCCTGGCCCCAGGCTCACATAGGGGCCAGAGCCAAGCAAATGGGTGTTGCCTGATTATAGTGCACGTGCTTCCTGCTTCCTGTTTCCCGTGAGCCACAGCACCCTAACCGCCCCTGACCGCCTCACAACAACCATGTTCAGCTTTGGCCTGCCTTCTGCAAACACTTGCTAGGACTCTGAACGAGGCCATGATGGCTAAGTCTGCGGCCTTCAGTCATGTCTGCAGGCTCCACAGCTAACATGCCTGAACCAGGGCTGCACAGAGCCGGCCGAGGGGGGAACCCACGTGGACCAGGGACCCTGTGCATGGGCTGAGGAGACAGAGCCTCCGATGCCTGGGTCCCATCAACAGCCGTGGACCACGGCTCTTACAGCCTATGCATCACTCGGGGAATCTCTCTTGCTGTTTCAAACAAAGGACTGGATACAGTGGGTGCTGGGGAAAGATGATGTGAAGCACAGAGCTTCCTTTCCACCTGATGCTGGGGGAGGAAGACAAAAGCACAGTTATGGCCAATGTGTGCCTCTGAATCCCAGGGCCCACAGCCTGACCCAGCACCTCCAGGACAGCACAGCGTCCTTCAGGGCGTGGCCATCCAACCGGGTCCACCATCACCCAGTCCCGGGACGGCTTCTCCAAGACCTCTGGCTCCGCTCGTCACAGGACGAGGATCTCCCTGTGGGTGCCCAGCTCCTCACTGGCCATCGGGTGTGTGAGAGCCAAATTATCAAGAGGGGCTGTCCCTACTGAATCCCCATGGCCACATCACAGAGCAGGGGCCTGGAGACGGACTCCTGACCGGCAAAGTAGGTGTGCAGAAGCCTTCAGAGCACGGTAATTACGTCCCAAACAGACACCACAAACACTCCTCCGGGACTCCCACCTGAGTGGCCACATGCCTGTGGACTTTGAGACACTTGACCATACACAGTGGCCTGGACTTTGGCAGGACCAGTGCTGGGTTGGAAGTTGGGGGCCTTGGGCCAGGGTCTGGTTTTACCTCTCTCTGGAATGTTCAGTTCCACATGCAGAAATCACTTCCATCTGTAAGTCTCGGTTTCCCCTATCTGCAAAATCAGGGGTTGAGTATGACCCTGGAGCGCCCTTTCATTTCGAGGATTAACCCACAGGTGGCTTCCCCCATGCCCACTTCAGAATCTGCTGCATGAATCCCACGTGTAGCCAGCGCTTTTTTTCATGGCAGGACTGACCT